AGGGCATTGGACATTACAAAGGCACCAGGCCCTGACGGGTTACACCCGAGAGTACTTAGAGAGTTGGGCAGGGGTTCTCTCACGCCCGCTGGCCTCCATTTTTGAGACTTCGTGGAGAACAGATGAAGTTCCAGAGGACTATAGGGTGGCATCAGTGATCCCAATTTTCAAAAAGGGTAGTAGAAGGGACATGGGGAATTATAGACCTGTTAGCCTTATGTCCATTGTAAGGTTTTGAGATGGCTAGATGGAGGGGATGCAGTGGATGTGGTATACCTGGATTTCAGCAAGGCCTTTGATAAAGTGCCCCATGATATCCTGGTGGAGAAACTGAGGAGTTTTGGGATACACCAAAGCACTGTCCGGTGGATTAGGGTATGGCTGACTGACCGAAAGCAGAGGGTAACCATTAGCGGGGAATCATCGGGATGGCGGCCAGTGACAAGTGGGGTCCCCCAGGGCTCTGTCCTGGGGCTGATCCTGTTTAATCTTTTCATTAATGACATGGAAGAAGGGGTGAACAGTCTGCTGATCAAATTCGCAGACGACACTAAAACTGGAGCAGTGGCCACAACTGAGGAACAGGTACTCCAGATCCAAAAGGATCTGGACAGACTATGGAAGGGGGCAGGAGACAACAGGATGGCGTTCAGTGTGGATAAGTGCAAGGTCTTGCACTTGGGGCATAGGAATAGCTGTCATAAGTACAGGTTAGGTGACAAGTGGCTGGAGAGCAGCACTTGTGAAAGGGACCTCAGGGTACTGGTTGACTGCAGGCTAAACATGAGTCAGCAGTGTGATGCGGTGGTCAAGAGGGCGAACGCCACCCTTGGTTGCATAGCCAGAAGTGTGGCTTCTAGATCAAGAGAGGTATTACTACCACTCTACACGACTCTGGTGTGCCTGCAACTGGAGTATTTTGCTCAGTTTTGGGCCCCTTATTACAGAAAGGATATAGCCAGGTTAGAGTCAGTGCAGCATAGGGCCACAAGGTTGGTGGCCGGTTTGCAGGGGATGGGGTATGAGGCGAGACTGAGGGAACTGGGTCCCTTCAGCCTGAAGAGGAGACTCAGAGGGGATCTGTTGGCGACATACAGGTATGTGAGGGGATGCCACATGGAGATGGGTAGAGACCTGTTCTCTCCTGCAGAGGAAGGCAGGACTCGCTCCAACGGAGCAAAGCTCAGGGAGCCAAGGTTCCATTTGGATGCCAGGAAGCACTTCCTGACAGTCAAGACCCTGAGGGTGTGGATTGGGCTTCCACGAGAAGTCGTTGAGGCCCCATCGGTGTGGGTGTTCAAGGACAGGCTGGACGTGCACATGGTGGGCATGTCGTGAGTGGAGCCGGTTAGTGCCAGCGGTCAGACTAGATGGCCCGGGAGGCCCCTTCTGACTCGCTCTGTTTCTGTGTTTCTAAGTAAAGAGAGAACTACCGATCAGGGAGCTGAACGTTTCTCAAGAACAGACATATAGTCCACTGCTGACACAAAAATAGCAGCAAATATGAAACCTAAAATAGAGACCATCAACAAATTTGCTTAGCTGTGGAAAAACAAAAAGAATTTTCTAAAAAAGGATCTCAAAAACAGCCAATTATTTCTCTCCTTAATTAGCACCCCTGTTAGATCAAAAATTTCCATTTTACAACAAAAGAAAGAAGGCAGCTATGTTAATTCATTAAAGAAAACACACATATGAAAAATATTACAATGCCATCATTATGGCCAACTAAAAATCCTCAAACCTGAGAAACTCAGAAGCCAGCTTTCTGTTTGACTATTTTAAGTTGGTCCAGCAATACAATTTCCATTGACTTCAATCCATTTTAGATTGCCAGGTAGCAATCTAAGCTAGAGGAATGAATAAGGTCACAGAATGATACTCACAGCTCCTTTAGGCTTGGAAGGGCTTTAACTGCTTCAGGAAATTCTGCCATGTTGTTATAATTTAAGTCCCTGTAAAGAGCAGCATCAGCAGCATTAGGCAGTGTTCAATATTTAAGAATCAGTGTTCCAAACTCCAAATCCAGTCAGAACTGTGTAAGGGTTTTTAAAAAAATGAAAACAGAGAAAGCCTTGAAGCTATTCCCAACTAAATAGGAGGAGAAAGTCCAAGCATAGCAGCTTCCTGCTTGCAGTGGGGCTTGTTCTGTTTCTGATTGGTTCAACCAACCTTATAGTAAAAGTTCAGAACAAGTTCACCTCTTTTTTTGGGGAGAGGTCATGGCTTGTTGACAGGGTTAAGCCCACTAGACCCTGGTGAAGTGTACCCCATTCCCTACCATTCCACCATTACTTGGGTCTACTGGACTAGACCCACTTTCCACTACATTCCATCATTCCATACACATGATTCTATCTCACAATAGCTATCCTGCTCTGTCCCTTTAAAGTACTCGCAAGTGGGGACAAAAGCGGGCCCCTCTCCTTTCCCTTCCCTTTTCATACAACTGTTCACATTTGGCATTATCTTCCTCTCTGCTGCCTGGCCTAGCATCATCCACTGCTTTTCATTTTTGTGGTGGAAGAACAAGGGAGCCAAAACCAGTCCAGCTGCCACAAGCCAACAGCCATGTTAAGTGGACCCAGAAATTTTCCTGATGACTGCTGCCAGAAGTTCTGCCCACACTGAATAACTTCAGGAAAAAAAGCAAGCCAAGTGTGGCATTTTGCAACAAAACACTAAGCATACTTATATATGGCTAATCATCATAAATAATAAAGCTAAACTCAAACACTGAAAATCCTAATCTCAAGATCTGATGCAATCAAGTCCTTTGCAATGTGTTTCTTTCAGTGATGAAGCCCCAAAGGCAGGATACTTACAAAATTTCTAGGTTGTTTAATCCATCAAAACAATGATGTCCTAATGTTTTTATTTTATTGTTATGGAGATGCCTGGGAAAAAAGAAGGAGGGGAGACATAAACTATGACTTGTATAAATCCCTACATGTAACTTAAGTTTCCAAAATTAGCTTTGCTCAACAACAAACAATGCAAAGCACTCACAAAGAGCATCCTGATGGGTGGCTGGGTTGCTGAGGGATGAAATCCCTGCTATAATTGAGCAAGGTAGCCCATGAACCGGCCAACGATGTATTCTGGCGCCCGCTTTTTTGTTTTGTTTTTGCTTATAAGAATGTAGTTCCCATATGCTAAATTATGGTTGCCCTCAAATCCTGACAAAGGAAATAACAAAACCCTCTGTAAAGTACACATTACTTTGACAATGAATCTGTACAGAAATTGACCAGACATTGTCTTCCCTGCAGCACACACACAACGTCACAGCTCAGTTTCACCTGACTCCACCTGGGGCTGCCACCCTGTATTCCATGTTCCTCATCACTGAAATGAAAGCCACCCTTTCATTACTCTGGCTTCTGTGTGTGTTCTTGAATCCAATGGCTTTCTGTACCCTCCAAGTCAAAGAACACTAAATAAACAAAGCTGTAGAGAGAACTATGTAGCAAAGCCATTCAATCATTTCACATGTGGTAACATGCTTCTGATCTTTCTTTCAGATGTATTTCCTGGTGTACCAGAGTGTACAATGATTCAAGGAATGTGCACAATACAGTCCTGTCCTATGTTCATGCCAAATTGTCAGTCCTGATTTACCAGGGGGTGAAAGCAGACAGGAACATTTCAAGGCCCCTTACCCCTCAGCAGGCAACTGGACTAGCAAACCCAATTCTGACAAGTGCTGGTTCAGCTGCTAGAAGAACCCTCTGTACAACACTGTTCACACAGCCTTGTTTTAGGTGAACATTTACCCTTTGCCAGTGGTCATTTTTCCTATACTGATGAACAAACCAACTTCTTGTGAAAACCCAAATCTTATTCTGCAATGCTTAACTCTTCCAGAGGCAACAAGTTACAAACACTTACAGCACAACAAGGCTTGAGAGGTTTGTGAATGCAAAGTCTGGGATGCTGGTTATTTTGTTGAGAGCCAAGGTCAAGGCTTGCAGGGATGGAAGATTGCTGAGAGGAACCACTGGGACGTCAGTCAAGCTGTTATCATCTAGCCACAGGTGACGCAGTTGAACTAGGCCTTCAAAACTGTCTTCTGGCACAGCAGTGATGTGGTTAGCATCTAAGCGCCTGCAGAGAAACAACATGAATATTTAACAGACCTTGCTAAATATGAGAAGCAGATTTTTTAAGGTGGAATGAAGTGAGTCACTGAAGCTTGGGGAAACATCGGTTGAACCTGAACATATGTAGCTCATCAGGGCTAAAATGAACACACAATCCAACACAAAGGTAATAGGTTATGCACACAGTACAGGTTATCTATCAGCTGATGTGCTACTGAGCAGCATTCACTTACAGTTTACAAAAACAGGTAGTTGCATAACAACCTACTGACTCAATGAAATACTACTTTTATACATAGATAGGCAACTGCAGTAAAAATTCCTCAAATCTCACTCGAAGCAAAAACTGCCCTAAAAGTGAATGAGGTCATCCTCACAACATATTCTGACAAAGGATTTAGTTACCAAGAAAGAAAGAAAGAAAGAAAGAAAGAAAGAAAGAAAGAAAGAAAGAAAGAAAGAAAGAAAGAAGGGAGGGAGGGAGGGAGGGAGGGAGGGAGGGAGGGAGGGAAAAGAGCAAGTACCCTAACATTAAGAAGAATATGTTTACTAGCTCCAGCCTTTGCTATTGAGATATACTTTTAAGTGAGTTCCTGCATTAGTAAACTTTCAGCAATATATGAATAAAAACATTATTTAGCACACAGTAATTACAATTGATCTTTTCACTGTACAGATCAATCCCGAAGGTTTCCAATTATTCTTGCAGAAATGCTTATCAGATATATCTTAAGCAACTTTACAACTCTTGTGATGGACAGAGGCCATATTAGTGAACAAATACCACACTGTTAAAAGAAAGCTCACATTTAAACTGGAGCTTTGTTTAAAATCTTTGTTTAAAATGCTGTTTCTTTGTGTATTCCTCAAAAACTGAGAAGTGTTAGTTTTAGGGGGTCAAACTAGATAGCCTGGAAGGCCCCTTCTGACTCACTCTGTTTCTATGTGTTAAAGGCTAAAAGGGTTAAGTGAAATACCTGGCAAATTAGGGAATATGGATCTCCAAGGAGGTACGTAGGACTGAGATGAGATGTAAAAGAGACATCCTGGAGCTGCAGGTGTGTAGATCTTCTACTGCTTTTGACTTTTCCACTGTAAGCCTTTCTTCCAGTAACTTACTTGCTATTTAGGGTTCAGGTTTGTATTTGTCATAGCAAAACAAATTACCACCAGCAGTCACAAGCAAGAATATTTTATAGTATCACTTAAAAACTGATCCAGAACCTACCAGGAACAGGCCAAATCTCAGTGAGGGACTGTAGCTTAGCATTCATCACTTGTGGTCCACAGCCAATCAAGCTGCATTGACAAATTAGGGATTTGATACAGGGGCTCTACTAGCTGCTGAATTTAGGTGCTGCCTGTTACTCCATGCTACCTCCACAAGATGTGGTCTGTTGCCAATTGGTTCCAGCTGAGCTTATAAGTGGTACTGCTCCAGCCCTTATTTGTGGCTGGAGCTGTTTCATATCTAAACATTTCATGTTTCAAATTCTGTATATACCTATGCATATTTAACCATTTTAAATGCCAAACTTTTCCATTTCAAAATGTTTTAAAACTCTAACATTCATAAACCAGATGTGCCACTGGTGAACATTATAGAGTGTGGTTATCCTGTGCATTGCACTGACCCCCTTTCAGTTGATTCCTATTCAGCATGTTGCAAGAAATGGGGGAATAGTTATGGGATCCATAATGAAAACACTGGTCTACCTTCCAGTGGGGGGAATGTGACCCCCCACCTCACATGGCAGATGGGAAAGGCAATGGATCCTGCACGTCTGTCAATTTTGATAATGCCACCTACAGCAAGGGCCATGCAGACAGGCACTCCCCCACCGCTGCAAAGGCTGCAGCAACAGATTATCATGCATGCAGCTGTGCAGAGAGCTTGCCCAGACCAAATGCTTTGCTCTTAGATGCCCTTTTCCAAGTGAGTCATTGGCAATCAGGTGATCTTGGAGACTGAAAGGGCTGTTCTGGGGACTTACTGCGGGTTCCCAGGGCCCCCTCCCAACCAATGCCTCACTCTGTAAACAGACCTTCAAAGGGAGGCTTTGAGGGGAAGGTGGGTGGCACTTCTCGCTCTTTCAGCATTAGCACATAGTTCTTGCCCCCTGCCCTCAGCATGTGACTTGGGCCCTGCCCACGCTCTGACCATGGGGCCAGCTTATGCTCCCCTGCCCTGGTGGAGAGGCACGGTTTTCACTCACCCCCACAGGGTCCCACAGTGGCAATTCACCTTTCCCTCTCCCCCACCACATGCAGGGCATGGAAATTAAGCATGCCTGGGAACTTCTCTGCTGCAAGTCATTCTGTTTCCTCATTTTGGCAGTTTTACCCAGGCCCACCATTAAATATATACTTATTTAACTTATCAGAGACATCTACCATGAGGACTCAAACTAAAACTAGGTACAATTATATACATGAGAAAGCCGCAAGGCATATCAGCCACATCTCGACTTTGTCCCACCCACTCTAACATGTAATTCACCTCAACCCATGACTTGACTGGAAAGCACTGGCTGTCAGAGCAAGAACACACAATGATGGGAAAGAGGTAAAAAGCGAGGTAGCAAAATCACAACACCATGGCATCAAGACATTAATATATTGCAGTCACTCGTGCAGCAAAATAAAAAGCGTTGAGATTCTTTGGGGAAACTATGATTGTTCAGCTAATGTAAAAGCAGCATACATGCAGCATGGATGAAACTCATGGTGTACATTAATTTTGCAAGGATTGTGGACTTTCACCTAGAAAATCCATGACAATGGGACTATTTGCAAGACATGAAAACCAACAGTGTATTTGACCTATGGTTAGTCTGCAGTATGTGAAGCCACTGTTCTGAATATGTAACCCACTGTGTCATGAGAACTCGGGGAGTGCAGGTTATAGGTGGGTTACAGAATCCCCATGATTTATTTAACTTTTGCATAGCTGATGCTTGCTGAGATTGCATAAAACGAAAGCTCCCCAGCAGGATGTGTATGTATAAATTTGGGGCCTTTGGGCACCCTGGCTTACCATAGGTTAAATACCCAGTGTGGAGTCACGGAATGTTTTCTGAACCTAGTCAATGTTTGCCTTACTGTGTCACCCTCTGAATTTGAAAGGTACAAACCTGAACTCAAATCTACCAGAATTAGCATTAACCAGTATCAATATTAGGGATGATATGTGAATCCCTCATTTTGAAAACTGCATCTATTAGAAATTCACCCAAAGCTGAAATTTGTTGTTGTTACAAAGAGAGCCCTTATGCTGATTAATTAACAGTATATCCTACAGCCATTAATCAGTTAGACAGAATGGGACAATTTAGAGTCCCAGCTCTTGGAAACTTGTCAAGGAGATTGGAACTAGGGCTCTGGACTTGGAGTGTTCACCTGCACCCTCGCAGCAAGCACAAAAAGAAAGCACCAGCTGCAGCTCAGAAGTTGCAAGAGCAACTCCACGGACAAGCTTTTGGGAGAGGAGAGGAGAGGAGAGGGGCTACACTGGCATATATAGTACCTTGGCAGTGCCTCAGCCTCCTCTCCTTCACACCCCTGGGCTCTTCCTACCAGGCATAGGATGTCTGGAATTCTCCAAGTCTGGGAGATTCAGCCAACTGCACTGGACTGCATCCTACATCCTCTTCATTCCTTACTTTGGAGCAAATCTAATATGCATGTTGGCACACACCAATGGAATTCTATTGCAACTTATGGAAAAGGATCTGGTCTAGAGGTAAGCAACCTGGTATCCTCCAAATATTTTAGTCTACAGTCTCACTAAGACTCAGCCAGCATGCCCTATGGACAGGTATTATGGATATTGTAGTCCAAAACATCTAGAGGACATCATTTTAGCAGATATCTGAAAAAGGAGACAGTGTTTCCTCTTCTGTTATCTTATTCTCTCCCAATATCAAGACAACAGCTCATATTAAAAATATCACCCCCCCATCCTCCCTTTTTACTCATTACAGCCCAAGAATAGGATGCACCTGGTTTGGGTGTATTATAATGTAGCTACAAAACAAAATAATGGCAAAGAAAGATTTTTAAAAAATACTGATGATGCAATGATAGGCAGCAAAATAAAGATTCCAAAGATATGCATACAAAAGAAGAGAGCATTCTCTTTTCTTTATTCAAGTGCTGATCAACATGGCTGGAACCTAAGTATGCCCTTTAGAGTCTGCCCATCATATTGGGGATATTCTGGTAAAATGCACACCCATTTTTATCCCAAAATCTTGAACAAGCTATATTGACTACTAATAGTAAATAATTATATTGGGCCATTCTCACAATGGGCTGGTCTATGGCAGATATCGACTGTGTGCTTTTTCTTCTCAGCAAAAGGGAGAAATTACTATCCAAACCTTGCCAACTAAGTAGTAAAGGCATCTCCATACCTTTTGCCCTGTGGTCAGAGGAGTGCATGCTTATGCTACATAATATTAGCTAATATGCTGATGCTAGAACGTTCATTTAAATTAAATATTTAGTGATAAGAACAAAGTACACATCTGAAGAAAAACAACACCTAATCTTTCAAGTTCAGATGCCACAGTGAACTAACATAACAATTATCTTTTTCAAGTGGAGTAACAATTTTCCTATTGTAATAATTCTTACATGGCATTTACATCCTGCCTTTTTTCCTCTTGTGAGGAACCCAAAGAGGCTTACATAGTTCCATTTTATCCTTACAACAACATCCCTGTGAAGTAAGTTAAGCTGAAACTGGTCCAAAGTCACCCTGTGAGCAATAAATTCAAGATCTTCCGGTCCCCAGTCCAGCACACTAACCAATACATCACACTGGCCTTCAGATATTCCTTAGAAGAAAAACATATTTCAACCGGAATTTTGTTTGTTCATTTTAAGCTAACAGCATAGAATGAAATGGGATTTGGTTGGGGAGTCAGCCCAAATGAAAATATACTAATGTCCCCAAAATGTACTAATTGAGTAAAGGAAGAAATATGCATGTGACCAAAG